TTGGGGGAACAATGTGAGTCTATGTACCATAGATATAAAATAGAACTAGATAGCAAACCTCAAGATGGAAAGCTGAAAGCTGCCCATTTAGATTACCAGGTATAAAATTACCCAGATCTTCTGCATATGCGTATGCTTTGTTATAGAACACAGACTTACGCCAGCCGAGTTGCTAATTTCCAGTTTAGCCCTCCACTAACTTGAACTAGGATAAAATGATTTAATCATGCGGCTTTTCTACACTTTCCAAATGTTATAGGGCGTCAGTGTGTAGGGACTTGGCTTGGGAACCGGAGGGTCGCCGGTTCAAGTCCCACAGACCACAAAATATGGAGTGTGGTAGCTGGAGAGGTGCCAGTTTCACCTCCTATGCACTGCCGAGGTGCCCTTGAGCAAGGCACCTAACCCCAAGCCTGCTCATCGGGCCCATCACTCCACCATCTTTCTCCCTGTTGCATGTCCACAAGTGTGTATTTCAGCCTGTGTGTGTGTGTGTGTGTGTGTGTGTGTGTGTGTGTGTGTGTTTGTGTTTGTGTTTGTGTTTGTGTTGTGTGTGTGTGTGTGTGTGTGTGTGTGTGTGTGTGTATAAAAAAAAAAGAGTGAAAAGAACAATTTTCCCTCGGGGATTAATAAAGTAAATCTTCTTCTTTTTATTGGACAAAATTGATCAGATCAGTGAAACGTGTCATTTTGTGAGGGTTGTGACACATTTTTTATACAGTTTTACAGCCACAATGTAAGTTTATGGGAAAAAAGTATTTTTGTGTGTGTATTACATGGTGACATTAGCTTCAAAGCCCTGCGATCTTTCTGGGGGCTTGGCGCATGCACCAAAAAGCTTTTCTAGCTTCTTGGTTATGCAGCCCACTGAATATGCACAGTAGTGTTCCTCCTGCTGGTCCCGCTTCCGAGTTCCCGCTCGGGCCATAGACTTTACATTGTGATGACATCATTGCCTTTCTCGTCTCAAGGAAAGTGGACTAAGACACTGGATTTATTTCTTCATTGGCAACGGTGTGTCCAGTAGCGTGGGTTGTCTTTGTGAACAGATTAACCAAACAAGGCAAACGTGAGCTTTAGAGGTGTTGGTAGGTGTAATTTTAAACTTGGGAGGGTGTACAGAGGATCACACTGTTCCTCAAGATCCCAATGGCTAGAAACAAGGGCAACAAGGGCACAAATAACCAGAGGTGGCGTTAGACTTGGTTGAAAAATGTTGTCATAAACTATTATTATCGTCATTTTTAAAATATTTTTAATCATAATGACACATTACGAGACATTGTCAGTTAGACCATGTGGTCATGCATGTGAGATCAAATATAAGACGAGACTATTAGACATTAGCTAATTAATATGCACACTTGCCACCAAGTGGACATACCATATTATGGTAACCCGACCCTAAACTCCCCCTAAAACTGACATTTTTTGTCCTTGACTGCGCCAGGCTAGCAGTTTCCATGTGCTTCAAGTATTTATGCTAAACCACAGCTGCCAAAAGTGGCTAAGGGTGGCCTGCTATGATACCATTGGGCATGCCAGATGTTTCTAGCTAAAAAACAATTAAAACATTATAATATTTATGTTGTTTTACTTTTTGTAATATAAAATGCTTTCTAAATATGAAGGATCCCTGACAATTAAATATTTTTGTGTGTTTTTGTGTAGTAAGTCAGTCAATTATGGAAACCGTGGACCATTTTGTATATTAACAGTACAATAAGTGTTTGCTTTTGGCCTGTGGCCCACCATTAAGTGTTAGTTTTGGCCCTCTAACGGTAAACTATTGTGCATTCTGCTGCTAAACTAAGCTTACCATGTCCTGACTCTGAAATTGATATCAATCCCTCTGCTTTTAAACTCTGTGTCAGGCCTCACCTGTTCTCCATCCTCTTCCAAATTGCAAACATTAACCAGCTCTAGGCTACGATTTAATTCTATTCAAAGGATGCATATCATTTACAGTCAGAATACCCAGCTAATCACAAAATCGCTTCAATATTTCCCTCTTGTCATAATGAAGTGATTATTATTATTGTTATCATCAAACCTTTATGGTGTACATTCTTATTCACTTGTCTATACTTTAAATGGCACAATGGACAAAATGACATTTCAGCTTCTCCTTCCACTGCTTTGATGACAATATTATTATTATTATTATTATTATTATTATTATTATTATTATTATTATTATTATTAATTTATGGGTATTCGCTGGCCCATATCACCAGGACAATGAAATTGAAAGGCTGCTGTCCACAGCATTGCAATAATGGCTCCCTGTCCAATGGGAATTGAATGGAGGATAGCATCCCTGAGAAGCCTATTCTCTGGCCCGACCGGCCACTTCCCCCCACCACCACCGCCCCATTCTTCAAACAACGCTGTGACTGACAGCTCCCTTTCACACGGCTCCGACTGGCAAGGAAAGGGTTTAATTCCAAACCATTTTGTAGCATGGCATGATAATGACTCAAACCCAAGCCCACGGGCTGAGATGGGCCAACATAGTGTTATTGTGGGGCAGGGGGAGCTTTTTTTTTTTTTTTTTAATGGGTTTAGGATAATATTGAGGATTTAGTTTGAGTTTAAGTTTCAAACTCAGTTTTATCAAATTCAATATAATGAGAAAAACCTATATGGTTTGATCATAGATCAAGAATATAACTTGATCTGAACTTTGATCTGTTCCGCTGACAGCTCTAGTACCAGCTGTCTTATAAAAATGATGTATTGTTATAGATAAAATTAGCTTCAGTGTGGTCAGTTGCCACATGCAAATTCTACTTACATGACAATAATAATAATAATATATGATATATATGATAATAATAAATTCCTGAAAGGGGTTATTTATTTCATCATCATCATTTATGCACCAATGCACCAAGACAAAGTCCTCGTATGTGTAAAAACTTACATGGCAATAAACCTAATTCTAATTCTGATTCAGATTTTCCCTTTGAGTACTTTTTACTTTGGATACTCAATATGAACATGTTGCTGATAACAACAGAGTACTTTTCCACTGCAGATTGCAGTATTGAGTATATGTACACAAGTAGACATTATTTAAAGATTGGAGACCCAGTCAACAATGAAATGATATCACATTCATAAATGAATATTAGATGAGATTGACATCTAAACAAACACCAACTATAGTCTCATGGTTACCAGGTTATGTGGTTGAAAGCTTGAGTAAAGGTTTGTGGAGCTAAGATGATAAGCTGGTTGATTGACACAAAAATGTTACTCTGGCTTAATTGTGTAAGTAACTTTTGTGCACAAATGATTAGATTTTTGGATTTTCGACTGTTGGTTGGTGCAAATTTTCTGACATTTTTTAAACCAGAAACACAAATATCCGTCCCACAAATACACATGTGTAGACCAGATGTAATCGCTAATTTCTCACATTCAGTGGATGAAATGTCACCACTGGTGTCAAAGTCATCACAAGCAGATTTTGATTGATAGGTGAACCTCATCGTCATTGGCCCGCCTGACCTACATCTCTCTGTGCTCACCCTCCAACCTTTGGCCCCGTGCTGTAACACATTCTGTTGACCAGCCAACTTCTTTCCTCCACAGCACAACAGTGTTGTCAAGCTCAAGGGATCTTCTGCTGAATGAATCAGAAGTTAAAGAGGTGGGGTCGACCTTAAAGACAGAGGGATTAGATTGCTTCAATTTATTTATTTTTTACTGTGAAGTTTTGTTGAGCAGAGGAAGAGCAGAAGCAGGGAACGCAAAGGAAGGATTTGCTGGAAAACAGATGGCGAAGAGGCCCTTTGTCACTTTCTGACATCTTGTGTGTGTGTGTGTGTGTGTGTGTGTGTGTGTGTGTGTGTGTGTGTGTGTGTGTGTGTGTGTGTGTGTGTGTGTGTGTGTGTGTGTGTGTGTGTGTGTGTGTGTGTGTGTGTGTGTGTGTGTGTGTGTGTAATGTAATCAGTAGGTTTGGCCCGGAAGGGAACACAGCCACAGAAAAGAGACAAAAGGGGTCAGGGAATAATATATCTACATTGTTACAAAATTATGCTTCAAGATGCCCTTCAACCTTCCCCTCTGTGTCCCTCCCCCACCTCCGCCCTGACACCTTTTGACCAAAGAAGACAAGGAAGATTTCCTCCTTTGATCATTGGAGGATGGAGGGGGAATGAATGGTCCAAAAGGAAGCAGCAGAAGCAGTGCGGGGGCTTAGAAGATGAGCTGTTTACCCTGCACTTGGCTTCTGTTGAGGCCTCCTGCTTCTTCCATCTCCTCCACCAACCCCATCCTTCTCAGTAAACCAACCCCCCTTCGTCCCCTTTCGCCCTTTTCACCGCCCCATCCTCGCCCCCTCACCTCCTGGGCGTCACCCCTGTCACCCGATTTCCTTCCAGGGATGGTGGGAGCAAGGCGTTGCACCTGTCTTGACCCGTCTAGACACCACCACCTCGCTGTTTTGTACTCAAAGAAGGGGACAGGAAGAGGATGGTGGACTATGGATGGAGAGGTGGGGAGGGTATGCGCGCAGGTTAAAAGTCAGAGTTGAGGGTGACTTTTGTTAGTGAGGATGGAGAAAACACAGCGGAAACAAGAGGTCACCATGCTGACCTGCACAGAGCCCTGTGGTGTAACACAGCTGACAGTGGGGCAACCCAGACTCTGAGGAGGATTGTCAACAGCAAAGTGGCTTATAAAGAGATTTTTTTCCCTCATCATGAGTTATCCTTGTGTTGTTTGGTTTCCATGGCATTGACACAGGTGCTCAGATTTGGAAGTTTAATTTAATATATTTTTAGGTTAATTTTATTTCCCCCCCCCCCCCATTTTTACAGCTTGAACTACCATGTGTTCACCCAACCTTCACTTTGAGTTAGTACTGGAAAATAAGAGGAATGTCATGTGACGAAAGATCTAGGCCAGACTGCAGCCCGGGGCACCAGCCATCAAACAGTTCAACGTCTCGTGTCCCGTGTTCTCCTCCTCTCTCTTGCTTGTGTGGCCAGGTACCTCTTGCTCGCTCAGAGACTCACCTCAGCGAACTCCTGGATGGGGTGTGCAACAGCATGACCGACTACGCCCTCCACGTGGACCCCAACACCCAGCTCAAACAGTACATGAGGTTTGCTCCCAGGAGCAGCGGGACCACCGGGGACTTTCCTGACTTTAAGAACTTCCAGTTCAACGGACCTGAGGCATCCAACGCCCTGAAATTTGCGGTGAGTGCAAAAGTGCATAATTCAACTATAGAATTGACTGTATTTGTAATAGCATTGTAATCTGTAATGATAACTGTGGACTAATTTAGTGAACTCTGTAGGCATTGGCAGACCACGACCGGGTTAAACCGGCTTAATCCCTAATTACGTTTGTGTGTAAGGTCCTTCTCAGTCCTTCTAAGTTCTTAGTAACTATTGGCTGTCATTTACTGAACTGGGTTGCTTAATTAAAATGGAAGGCATGTATTTGCTGGTATTGGTTGCTAGGAAACATTTGTATCACTGTCCAATCAAAAGCAATCAACTGTGCAAACAGGAAGTATTGCAAGGTTCTCGTAATGCTACTGTAAGACATTATATCATAACATTCAGTTCTATTGAAGCCTTTGGGAGATTATCCAAAGATGATTATAGATATATATAAAACAACATGTTGATGTTGATTTTGTTCACAATATTTATCCTCAGCTATTTTAAAATTTCCCACATTGTGCATTTTAATTTGACTCACCACGAGCCCTGTAAAGTGTGCTTAGCCTCCCATAGGCTTCAATAGAATTGGCACCAAACCGCATTAGAAGGTTGGTGTTGTGATGTAATGAGGCTTCCTCCTTTTCTAGTTCCCTTGCTGTGAGATAGCTTCCAAATATAACTGTTTTAGGAAGCTAGAAAGGTTTTGTCCGTGTGTGTGTGTGGTGTGTGTGTGTGTGTGTGTGTGTGTGTGTGTGTGTGTTTATTTTATTAATATTATTGATGCAGTTTGCAGTAAGACAGAAGTATCTGTTTATGGTAACCTAACCAACCTTATTTTAATTGTTATTGGCATAACATTATTTAATATGAAGTTCACTATAGTGTCTTGTTTTTGTAAAAAGTAATTTAAAATCTTCCCAGTTCATGTCATCATTAACCATTTAAGACCCAAGCCTAAATGTGTTAAGAAAAAAGTTTTTGACTAGAATATAATTTTTATTTATTTATTTTACAAACTCGGCTTTTAATTTATGTCAGTTACTGAACTTAAGTATAGAATTTAATTTATGCTATTAATGTATGCTGTTTAACTATGTGTTAAGATGGAAAAACACATACATACATACATATCTATACAAACAACACATATCTATATAATTTAACAAATACTTTACTTTTGGTCTCTGTCTGTAGTTTTAGTGCCCACTTCTGTAATTTTTTGTGTCTTTTTCCTGATATTTACTGTTGGTGATAGTCAGAGTGTACTTACATGGACAAGTATTGTCCTCCTTACGTGTCATGGTGTGTCCTGACACGGAGCACACCTGGCAACACATGCCGACATTTCCATCCAGTTTCAGATGAGCTACGTTACCACATCGCTCTCTTACCTCTTAAACTAAATGTGTCATATTTTAGCAAGCTAGTTTTGTCCATTGGTTCAGTCAGTAGGTATAAATATGTATTAATCTCTATAGCAGTACCAGTTGGGATTTAGTGGTGTGTAAATGTCCACCCAGTAAACTCTTGGGTTGTAACTAGTCTACAAATGAAAGCTAGCAGCTGCTAGCTCTGCCACATTCAAGTCAAGAGTGACTTGAATACAACCTGTGTTTTACATAATGTTATGCCAATCTTGTATTTGTGCTGTATGTGACAATGTCAATATAACATTCTAGTATAATACATACGCTGTCTATATGGCCAGGTTTCCCTAGTAAAAGAGGTCGTCCACCTCTGCCTATATTAAGGATTCAGGATTCCGTGTTTTTCCAGCTAGAATCTGATCCTGGTGCTCAGTTCGTTTAATATACTAGAGCTAAAATTCACATTACAAGTATGTTAAGATCAAAATTCTCTCCAGGACTTCCTGCCGAAACCAATCTGGTCTAGAATCAGTGGTTGAAGGAAATATCCCAGTGAATCTGAAGAGTTGTGGTTCAGCAATGTGACCATCGGCTTGTCAAAATGGTAGTTTGGCACACAGAGGAGAAACATGGTCACCGCCCTGCAAACGGCGTGCCCGCCATTGTGCAAAAAGACAACGTGTGTGTGTGTGTGTTGTGTATGCATGGCCGAGCCGCCTCAGCTCTGTCAAGTCTTTCTTCTGTGCCTGTGTTTTTCTCTCAGTGTGAGACGGTGGTGGAGGAGCTGGAGGATGATATCATCTATCTGTTCAGCCGGGACACAGAGCATGTGCACGAGGAGTTATGCAACAGAGTCTCAGGTACCATGGCTTCTTCACATGCTCTCTACCGCAGATCTGGTTGTGTTACGTTTGCCTCCCCTTCCTTTCACGCAGCATATCAGCCCTCACATCGAGTGGAATCAATTAGAGCAAAGGCTCTGCGTTGTAGAAAAAAAGCTTCAGAAATCCATGGAGAATTTAAGCTGAATAAATGAATCCAAAGATTGTGTTTCTGTCCTAACAATAACAATATCATGTTTCATCTAAACATCTTATATTGCTTGCTGTTCGCTGTTGGGCTTCCAGAGCCTTATGTAACAGCACGGATGAGAGAGAGGCCATTTTGTTAGAATATCTGAATCAGCTAAAAATTATTGTTTATTACAAAGGAAAATAACACTGAGATGGCTCTACAATACTGCTCCAGGCCGAGTCTTAAGAGTGTGTTAATAGTGTGTCACACAAACTCACAACCGAGTGCAAAATAGTCCCCTCTTCAACAGCAAATTAAATTCATCAACCTCAGCACACTTGCTTATACTTTGTCTCTGTTTTTGATTTCAGACTACTGTAAAGACAGCAGTCACACAAACAAGGAGTTATAGTGTCATTTCACATTTCCACTGGACAAAGGTGGAACCAGCTTTGTTTGAGGCCTTCAACAGAATCAGTTTTTAACCAATAATTGACAATATTTTGAAATAAATAAAAAGAACAAATCTTGATAAAACCATATTGTGCGCATTAGTTTTTGTTTGGCTTGAAACCAATGCTCCTGCACACCGCTTGCTCATGTCAGACCAGATTTTTGTGTTGTTAGCTGCTAGCTCTTATTAGTTTTCTGAACAGTGACTGCTTCTTGGTCTGACAAACCATAATCAGACCTACAAACCGAGCACATTAATGAAGCAATGGCAGTCATTGCATGCTTTCAGTCAGTGTGAATCTATAGCTAGCAGGAAATTTAGCATTCTGCATAGAGCTGTGACAATTAGTCAACTAATCCATTTATCAGTAGAAATAATATTTTCTGGTTTCAGCTTCAAATGCTTTTCTCTGTTTTCTATCTGAATATCTTTGGGTTTTCGGGTGTTGAGTCTGACAAAAAGAGTTGAGTTCAAGTTTTTGTTAGGCTCTGCAAACAGCTATGTAACTATACGATAAATCAATTAATTTAAATTAAAATAAAATATAGAAATTAATTGATAATATATTGTTATGTGCTGCCATAATTATACACCTGTTTGTTAGTTCACATCAATTTGTGTTATTTCACTCATTATTATAAATATAGTAATTCAGTCCGTGGTCATGCAAGGTCAAAGCATCACTTTTGAAAACTGTATCTCTCTGCTACTCTCTAAAGGGCTACTACAGAGTACATAGAGGAACAGAAACGGTTCAGTGTCTTCTCATACAAACTAGCAGGTGTGCAGACTGGAGCAACAATCCATTGTCTGATTGGACCAGATATAGCGGCAGCTGGTTGATGATTGGCCAGAACGCTGTGCACTGATATGCTAAAGAATGCATGTTCACAGGGGACGTATGTTACTCAATCTCCTCTCAGTATATTCACATAGTACTACAATGTCTATATGCTTGGTTGAGTTTATTAGGTTGTAGTAAACCTGCAAAATCAAAAAGAAAACAAACTATTATTTTCACAAAAAAATGAAAGGCCAATGGAATACGGCTTTACAGTAAAATGTTGTTGAAACTGCAATATGGCCAAGTGCAATGTATATGTAGAAGTACTGTAGTACTAGTCTAGTAGTAGTAGTAGTAGTCTGTACTGTAGTACAGAGATGCCCTAAACTACAAATATTGTCCTCCAGATTCTAGTTTTTTTCAGTAAAAATCGAAATTGTGATGCAATAATGATCATTCCCACTAATCATGAATCGTATTGCAATCATAATATCTATCAAATTGCAGTATTTTATTTTAATATATCATGCAGCCCTACGTTGGAACCATAATGGTTCTGTACAACATACTGACAGTCAGGGGTCTGTAGATGTTCAAATTTAAGCATTACTTCCCTTCCTGTGAATTCACTTTATTTTGACATACATGAAGCTCACTAAACACATCTTGAAGGCTTATAAGAGATTACCTGTCTGGTCAGTATGTGTCATTTCTCACCAGAATGAAAATAACAAGGACTTCTGTCACACAGCGCAGTCGAAAAGTTGTTAAGATGGAGCAGTACAGTGTTTCTCAAACTTTATACACACATACCACCTCAGAAAATATCAGGCTCTCAAAGTACCAAAATTATGACTGTCTTAACTACTACTAAAATCCAGCAGTGTTGGCCTACCCTATTCAACTACTGACAGTTCACACAGGAGGCAGCTTTAATCCTGAACAGAACCTGTTCAAGAACCAGAAAAGGTGTTTTTTGTGGAAAAGGGGTCGTCCTGGTCCACACTTCTCTTCCCAATAATTTCTGTTTGGAACCATGATTGTTTTTTGAACCATGATTTTACCTGCTCTTACTATCCTACAATCAGATTTAGCTGTATACATGTACTACATTCTAAATGACTACATAGCAAGCTGATATTGAAACTAAATGTTACAGTATATACAAAATATATTTTAAATTACATTTCAGTGATCTTATAGTTTATAGATCTATAGAGTTTCCTCGCTTCCATAGTTTGAGAACCAGTGAAGTAGTAACAATAATATAAGCTACAATTTCACACCACAACTGATCTGTTCATCCATTCATCCTCATCTTTAGTCCTCAGCAGTCTGTAAAAACGTTCTGATTTGATTTTAGCAGTCTATACCATTGTAGCACTGTCCTCCATGTTTGTTTTCCTATGTTAATACCAGTGGGCATGACCAAAGCGATGCAGTGTCACACCTACATCCTGCTTCTTAGTGTGTTAGATCATGTAAACACAAGACCCAGAGCATAACCAACAGATTATTATTGGCTGTACGGCCCGATCCGTACATTATGGTTGACTGTACTGAGCATGCGCAACTCTCCACGGAGAAGCGAGATGGCTCACTTAATTCCATCATCAGTTCCAGAAAAAACAATTAATTGAAAATGTTATTTATCAAGACTTTAAAAAAAAAAAAATGTATTGTCTTCTGGATGTATGAATGAATGTGAAAGAGTTCGGTCTAGACCTGCTCTATTTGAAAAGTGTCCTGAGATAACTTCTGTTATGAATTGGCGCTATACAAATAAAATTGAATTGAACTGAATTGAATTGAATTGAATTGAATTGAATTGAATTGAATTGAATTGAATTGAATTGAATTGGATGCAGTCTGATGATGTAGCCTATATGCGAATATATATGGTGACTTACTTATTATTTCAGATGCTAATATTAGCAAAAGTGCACCAAAGTTTTGTTAAGGTATTAATGTTACATTAGATAATACTGAGACATAAGGATTTTTTTATATTAAAAAATAAAATGATGCATCATCTTTTTTGGAGCTGATAAATATAAGTAGCAAAGTGAGTCATCTTGTTTCCTACTTATCTCTGTTGAGAGTTGTACATGTGCAGTACTGATAAACATACTTTCCGACGCACAGAAAATCCTAATGTGTTAATGTGTGACACCATCTGTAAAAGAAACAGATCTGGCAGGCTGGGCACATCTGTTACCTACATCAGGATCTCAGAGGTTTTTATGATTTTTGTTACATTTAAAAAAAAATAAAATCTAAAAATTATATATATATTTTATTACAATTCAGGCCAGGTCAACACCAATACGTATATGTAGTAAGCAGTATGAATAAGTAATGAATAGTCAAAGTTTATGAGGTTACCTTTCTTAGTTTAGATATCTGACAAGTTGCAGAAATGTTGATACTGAGACTATATCAGTGACAACATTTAATTGAACGAAATCACAATCTTTCCTAACTTTAAGCAGTGCTTTTGTTGCAGGAGTCTGGATGTGAATTATGAACTGTGGTGTGACAGTCCTGCACCTTGTACTCCTAACATCCACCCTAACCCTCCATGACTATACCGTGTTACATAAATGTAGTGTTTCAAAAACGTTGTCTCTGAACATGATTGAACAGGATTGCACTAACTAATGCAACAATTTCATTTCAGTTCAAAATGCGAAAATAAGTCAATGACAGCCAAATGTAAATTAACACAAAGCCCAAAGCTAATACAATACGGACAACACAATAGGATAGACAATGCAATTCCCAAAAGTCAGCTTTTCATAAAATTATACTTGCTATTAAAGTTTGGTAGAGAACACAACAACCATATGCATTTTAGTTAAATGCATGTTTAAGTGCTATGCTCAGTCTGGTGATAGTCTGTTTGTTTAGCGTTCCATGGGCAGACCCAAACTAGCACCCAAACCAGCCTTACTACGTTCACACGGATTCAGGCAGGACAGCCTAGGAAAAAAAAAAGTGTATTACGGAATGGCAGGAAGGCGAAACAAATCATGCATGGTGATACGTTGCTATGATGTTGTGTTGTTTACAAAAAATAGAATCAAATGGATTAAAAAACATATTGTGAACTTAGTATTGGGAATTGCACTGAATCACAAGCTGAGTATATCGTTAGATTTCTATAATTTATTAATTATTAGCATTTCAGTGTCCAGAATGGTTTTAAATTCTGTTGCTTTATCGGTATTCTCTGCCAGCCTGTCCAAGTATTGTGTGTGTATCAAAATTAAATTAAAATAGGGAAGAATCAACTTCATTGTCAAATGCAATCATACAACATATCGTGAAATTTTTTCCCTGCATTTAACCCACCCTATATTAGCAGCTGGGGCCCGCCCACTCGGACCCACTCCAATCCTTTTCTCGTCTTAACAACTGTGCACTAAACTTGGCCTCAGTTTGAGTTCATTTAGACAGAAACTAAACCAAATACTTCAGTTATCATTCATTGTCCATCACAGTCTCAATAAAAAGAGTTGTGCTCTGTGCACTCTCCTCTCTTCTTCCTCTGCCCCTGCACCTGGTGTCTGCCCTTATTATAACTGCTTACTGACCATTCCAGGAAACTGTGTCTGAAATGTAACATCTAAGAGAAGCGGATGTAAAATCTGCTGCACACAGGGAGAGATGCTGTAGCAGAGAGAATCAGTGAATGAGGAAAAGAAAGAGAAACACAAATTAAAATGTCTGTTAGAAAGTGACTGACCTGCAGCCCTCAGCACCACAACGCAAGACGAAGGAGTGCAACAACCTCTTTTGCAAAACTCAGCAGCTCCAGTGATACCATTGAAGCAGCAACTATAAAACTATATTCGGCCTCATGCAGGTATATTCCTGCTGACTGTTGTCACTTGTAGTACTTTCATATCTGATCACCAGAGGCCTCAGTTATAAAATGGACTTAAAATCAATTTTGATCTTATAAATATGACTTACACAGAAATTATAAGCAGTTCTCTATAAAACGTTGTGATCACACTATTCACCAACACCACTTATGTTAGTGAGAAATCCTGTCTTTTGGTATATGGCTGTTCCTGACTAAACCCTCATTTGTGCAAGAATTATATCAAGTTACAAATTCACTTCTTGCAACAACGTCAGGAATGATCTTAAGACTACCTTCAAGTATATAAGTATATGCGTAAGAACAGTATAAATGTAAGAACATTTTTATGAATGGGGCCCCACATATTTATATGTTTGGGTGCTTGTATTTGCAATGTGTAGTGTGCCATTCGCTGACTCTACAGTGCACCA